CCCCATCCATCCATCCCTCATCTTCATCTTCAAATGCCGTTTGGGAGGTACTTACTTACCTACCTAGATCATAGATGATGGATACCTTGCTTGAAATTTATCAAAAAGAAAAAAAAAAGAAAGAAAAAAAAAGGAACGAGCACGAGCACGGCTTTCGGTAGCATGTCAACAACAGGCACAACAAATCAAGCTCTAGCCGAGATTATACATATGAATTGATTCATTTCCGACTGGCTAACTGAGAGACAGCCAGAACCTATATTTTACGTAATCTAACAAAAAAAAAAGGGAAAAATCAGAAATTGCCGAGAAAGCCAATCAGCAAACAGGACTCGCTCGCCTGGCCTTGCCTCGCCCTTTCCAGAGAGTCCCAAAAAACGCCGCTGCCGCCGCCGCCGCCGCCCTACCCAGGTTTTCGCTACCGGAAGAAAAAAAAGAGAAAAAAAAAAGCTCTCCTCCGCCTGATCCTGTACATTCTGGGCCCCCAGCCCCCAAAGCACATCGTGAATATCGTACAAAGAAATACATATCGTGTTTCAGTGGTCGCTCGACAAGCCACCGAGGATCTTCTTGAAATGTATGCCCTTCTTCTTCTTCGTCGATTCATCATTATTGTCTTGCGTCTGGCCTCCACTCGAGCCTGGCGAGCTATCCTTATCCTTCTTCTTCAAGCGACCCAGCGTAGCCAGCAGCCCCGACTCGTGATTGCTCTTCCCGCTCTTCGGACCAGGCATTTCGCTGTCGGGGTCTGTCTTGATAGTATCCCGTTGCACCATCGGGGTCATCATCAGCGAAGATTGGATGCTTTGGTTGCGCGATTGCTTCGAGAGAACGCTGCTGGAGTCGCTAGGTGTCCGGTTCAATTGGCTGAGGCCGATACTGTTACTCGACGTGAAAGATCGCCGGGGACTTCTCGACCGATCAGATCGAGCAGCGCTGAGACTCGTTTCGAACACAGAACTGCTTGCATCGCTGTTGTCGTGCAAGTTGTCTTGGCTGGAAGGATTCAGAAGCATGCTACTTGTGGCAAGTTCTCGGAGGCGATGCTGCTGAGCAGTCGTTGGCCGATGCTTGAACTTATTTTTGATGATAGCACCGGTGTGGGAAATCAAGGCTCGAATAACATCTTTCTTCAGAGCGAGCGCAAGGTCGAGGTTCGACCAAGTCTTGTTACGATACTCAATAGAAGGCAGGCGGAAGACGAAGTCGTGAACATCTTCAAGGTTACGCTCCCCGTTCCCTTTATAACTCAGACAGAGTACGACACTTGTTATCTTGACATGTGCAAGTGTCATGTACTCAGATGCTCGAGACATCATCTTCGTCAGGTCATCAGACGGCTCTGCCTTCTTACCTGGGTGGCGATGAATCCCGAACCGCTTCTTCGAGTCGCTGTTAGTCGTATGGGTTGAGTTAGCATCATTTGCGGAGCCCACGGTCAACGTCCGGCCTAGAGTTGGCCGCGATGCCATACTGGACTGTAGGCTTTCGCTCGATGGTTTCCTGGCCAGAGTCTTTGCGGACACACCCCGAGAATTTGCAGAGGTTTTGTTGCTTGACTGGAACAGTCTGAAATGATTGCTCTCGTGTTCTCGTCCGTGTCCGTACACGCTAGAAGCCTTTGATTTGCGCGCGGACGAGGTGCTCGGACGAGCTTCCGAGTTCATGGTCGGCTGGAGACGCAGCTCAAATGATCCTGCTCGTGGTTTATATTCGTTGTTATGCTTGTCTCTAGCTACGATATTAGGTTGCTTCTCCATAGTGGGTGTGCTTTGCTCTTCCCCGTTCTCATCCTCACCCTCGTCGTCCACGGGTTGCATGTATTTAACCATGAACGGCGATGTAGGCTTTGTATCATTGGTGCCAGGAAACATATAATCGAAGAGTCGTTTTCCGACCTCACGTTCGAGCTGAATTTTCACAGGGAAGAGATTGACTTCGAACCGGTCCATCACAGGAATACCTGCAATTGCTTCGAGCATGTTCCAGTTTACACTCAACATCTTGTTGTTTTCGCCTTCGTTGAAAACTCCGCGCTCAGGATCAGAGTAGGGAGCAAACATCTCGGGATAGATAGCATCTGGCAAAAGGTTGAGCCCAATGATCTTCCCTATCGACATGGAATTCATGTGCGACCCATCTGAATTGTCCACTCGATCGTACTCGGCGTGTTGAAGTTGAAATTCCATCAGCGGCTCATTGTTGTCCCGGATGAGATGCCAAACAATTTGACTCGACGAAATGATCCACCTGAGCAACCCGCTGGTCTGTGTTGCGTCGTATTTTCTCTGCGAAGAGGTGATGGCTTTCATCATGAAAAACAGTTCATCCTCGCAGCTGGCTAGGTCCCTGTCAACAGCAAGCCTATCTTCCCACCCTTTCATGTCCAAAAACTTGGAGTTCATCTGGAATAGGTCCTTGATCTCTTCTAGCTGTCGAATCCGTTCCTGCAAACGAATGACCATTTCCGGGGCACCTCGTAAATCACTGAAGTCTGATGCAAGCATGATCTTCTCCAAACGTTCATTTCTGGTCTTCTCCAGAGGCTCGCTGTACATCAGAAGGTCCAGTACGATGATGTACATCGCATAATACTGGGCTGAGTTGCAGATGGCGAAGATCTGGGGGAACTCGACGTAGAGATGATCCATCCGATTTTCGACATTGTCTTCAGCGGCCGCATAAGTGCCTTCGCTGCTAATCTCATCGTTGTACTTGAGTCGCAATGTGTTGTACTTGTCGTACCTCAAGGTAGCGGAGGTCTTTTGGACAATCCGTTTGAAGCCGAATGGATCAACTTTAAAGTCAAACATGACTTCCATGGGTACCCAGGGTGGCCAGGCAGTACCAGCGGGTACACCATAATGATTTCCAGAGTACATTGACAAGAGCTGTGATGAGAACCACTTCTGATGCGTGACAAAGAACTGTGTGCTGTCCATCTCCACGGAAAATCGGCGCTGCACCAGACCACTGATGACGTCCGATATGCGGTCTTTGTCCATGACCTCGATAACTTTTAGCTCCATACCCTTGGCGGTGACCAGAACCACAGCTTTAGGATTCTTCTCGCTTTGGAGCTGAATCTGAGGAGCGATAAGTCGTACGTGGTAGCTGTTCTGTGGCGTGAACTCGCGGCCAATGCCAGTACGGAGATCTTCGGAGGAAACCTTCTCACCCTTTTCTAGAGCCGGATCCTCCTGGGTATCAGTGTCGTCTGCGTTGATAAAGTCCCTGCCATCGGCGAGAAGCTCGTTGATCCGCTCTTCGACTTCTTGAGGACCAGGCTCGCCGTACGGAACATCAGCTGCAGAGCCTCTACGAGAGCCATCGGTCTCTGGCGACGGGTGTTGCTTTGCTGCCTTCGCCTTGTTCTGTTCGTCAACAATATCGAGAATGAACTTGACAGCTCGTCTGGAGAGATAGTAGACGAATCCGCGCCTCTGGCTGACTTGGTGTATGTATCGAAGGATTATGTTCCTCAAGAGGTTGTTCCACTTCAACTGCATATTGTGAATGACGAAACGATTGTTGAAGTCACTCACGAAATCTGAGCCAGGATTGGTGTCCATTCCTTCGGCAGCTTCATCATAATCCTTGGGAGATGTTGTTTCGCCATCGCTGTCGACATCGGCATCCCCATCGGGTACTGCACGCTTCTTGTCCGTATGGATGCGCATGGCCATGCGACGCAGCATCGACTCTAAAAATAGCCTTTTGTCTCGCAGGAAACTGCCATGTTTGCTTAGTAGCTCGAAATCTGCTCTCAGGGAAGGATTGGTATCATCTCTAACGCATTCAAGTGCGGCGTATTCGATAGCTTGGTTATGAGACTCCATCTGGGTTTCAAGCTGCCCAAGGCGACTTTTTATCAGCTGGCATTGAACGCGACGAGGGTCATCATCCTTGCTCATGATACAGAAATGTGTCTGCTCTTTTCCAAATGGGCTCGATCTGTCGGGGTCTCCAGAAATGGTATCGCCGTGATCAGTCTGGCGGAAATACGTGAAACGAGGGGTGTAAGCCAGCGGCATGATCTTTGTCTTTGGATTTGCCTCAGATGGCAGGATCCAATCCAGTTCGACAAAGTCATCCATGTCGATCCAGCTGAAGTCGTTGTCTGGGATTTCAAATCGTGACAGATCGATGGAAGGAGTTTCCGCTTGGGACACAAGCTGAGAGGCGGACGCCTTCTGCAAATCCTCAGGGGTTGTACCAGCGATACTGGCCGTTATAGCTCGGATATCGGCTGACAAAAGATCCAGTTGCGCTTGGTGCATCTTCATACCAGTTGTTGTGCCCTGTGTCTTGCGGCCCTTGTCGTGGGTGGGAAATTCCTCACGACGTTGGTGCATATCAAGCATGAAGCTGTCGAGTCTCATCTTCAAGCCTGTGGCAGAGACAACGTCTTCTGAGTAATCCTCGGCATCCTTGTGCTTGTATATGTGACTGATGAACAGAGGAGCCAGAAGAAGGTTGTACTTTATCGTAGCAAGGTGCCGGCCAAATTTCTTGCTGGACTTCTCAATGCCTGGCCACAGCGTACCTTGGCGGATGGGAAGTGACATAGTACCGTTGAACATCGACCACCAGGCGAAGAAGTGGGAGAAGAACCGAGGGGTCAGATGTACAGTGTTGTAGCTACTGGAGTTTTCTAGATTTGATACAGACCACTCTCGTTCGACGGGTGCTCTGACGGCAATCGACATGTGTATGTGGTTACTCCTAAATCCTCGGAAAGCGTCGTATTCCTGGCCGGGCGATCCCTTCGCAAATTGTGGTTCCTTCAGAATGACATTGTAATGGGGCTCAAAATCGAAGGACCGTTTGCCGTCTTCTTGCAAATTCCGTTCAAACGTCAAGCCGGTTTGCCACTGCACATTCCCAGACAGCTTCATGATAACCTTTTTGAAGGCCGCACCACGTTTGAAACTATCCACACTGGTCACACTATCGCTATCCAGAACGTTCTTCGACATCGAACGGGCTTGATGGCTGAAGTCCGGAATCGCGAGGATGTATTCACCACTGTCTACGGTCATGAACTTTCTTGGGTCTTCCTCGCGGCATATGTTCCACCGAACGTCATTACGCCAGCACATAAGAAAACCTGCACCATCGCCAGTAATGGAATATGGATCACGGGTTCCCTTGAGCATGAGATGGACATCGCCATCCCCTTTCCATGCCACGCTAACACGAGAATGAAAACTAAGCCGGATCTTGTCCCAGAAGCCAGTTCGGTCTGATGGATCAACCTGAGGCTTGGTGAATGTCTCGACTACCATCATCATGTCCTGTATAGCTGGCTGGAAAGATGCACCCCAAGTTATGCGCGTGGGGAATCCTGTATTGATATCAACCTTGATGTCGGAGTATGACTTGACCGGCGAGATCGTTCTCCGGACATCAATGGCGAACCCGCCCACATTTGACGTCCCCGATTCAGGGCTGTTCGGCGGAATGATATCGACTTTAACATGCCGCGTTGATTCGCGGCCTCGGAATTCTTCGGCGATAACAAAATCGGACTTTAGGGACCAGGCAGGTAGTCGAGTAGACTGACCAGGTTTGATGGCCGGAACATGCAAGAGAGGCAGAGGATAATCACGCAGGGTCATTCGAGCTTCTCCCATATCTATCTGGACGTGCATAGGGACCAAGAGCGAGTATTGCATGTCATAGGGCATGCCTTTCCCTACGCGATGGATGAAGTCGGGTAGCTGGTGCATTGGGAATGACGGCTTATCGATCGTGATGTGAAGATCGATGATCAAGGTAGCCATCAGGGCCGGACGTTGAGGTACCTCAAGTATATTTTCGACATCCACCATGTCGTCAAGCTGTTCGGATCCCCAGAAGATAGCACGAATATCCTTCATTCCACTTTTAAATTTTCCGTAGACGCGGTCAATTCGTCGCTTCCAGCTCTCTGAATTATACTTCTGCAGTCTCTCATGGGCCTCTCCAATAGAAATTTTGGCTGAGCTTGATATTCCGCAGGTGCCTTCAGGGTCGTAGCGCATATTGCGACCACGATGACCTCTTGATTGATGTTTATCAGTGGCCTCGTCCTCGCTCTGACTTCTTTTCGGGACATGGGCATCCCTTTGAGTACTACGGCCCCGCGGGTGAGCAGATCTGTTGCGGAAACGGGAAGAATCCTTGCGCATTTCCTCTTCCTCGATCTTCTTAGCCTTGAATTTGAATGCCGCTTCACGTGCAAGGCGCTGTGATTGCTCAACTAGCCCGGTGCGATATATCACGCCCAGTTTCCATTCGAATGCACCATCTTCAAGCTCAAAAAGCAGAAGTCTGCTTCGGACTGAGATTTTTGGCAGATGTTTCGGACCTTCTGGACGCTTGTTGAGAATGTACTCATTTGTACCGGTGACAAAGCGATGGTGTAGCTGTTGAACAGCCTTCAGTGTATTGACAAAGTTGTCAAAAACTTTGTGAAGAACAAGCTGATGTGGGATAGCTAATCTTATAGCCTCAGATTTCACGTCAATGAGCTTCTCGTCCTCCATTTGGCCGTTGCTGCGTTTCCGACGGCTCTCACGCAAGTCCACTCGCAGACCTTTGATACTTACAAGCCTTGCCCACACATGCTTCATTTTTGGTGCGTCCGCATAAAGTCTCGCAAGCTTGGCGTGCAAGAAGGGAGGCGACCACCTATGTCGGCCAGCTTCCAAGCCATATATTTGTACCATCACTGCTGGGTCGGAAGGCATTTGTGCCTTAACTTGGACCAGCGTCGCCTTGAGGTCGATAGTGACCAACTCACTCGCTGTGAACGGGTATTCCGGCGCATCGCGAGTGTAAAAATCATCTGAAGATCTGACAGGGGATAGCAATTCAGCGTCGCGCATCGCTGTTGTCGACACCCTCGCTTGCTCCTCATCCCTGTCTGCTTTGGTACGGACAAAAGCTTTCCTCAGGACGGTGATAGCAACTCCAGCAGAATAGTGGCGATAGAGAGAGTACTGGACAAGGAGCTGCTTCACATGCGAGTTGACGTGGAAGACTGGACCCTGGGTATCACTTGAAGTTGAGAGTGCGACTTCGAAGCGCGGTATCGCAACGAAAGGTTCAGCCTCCCATTTTTCAGTCGATTCGATGATGAAAGCCTCCAGGCCGCGGATGTAAACAGCCATACGTCGACCATCAGTCGGATGCTGTTTCTGCTGATGCTTTCTTCGGGTAGACTGGGGCATAGTCAAGAACATGTCAGAGTCTGGTGTCAATGACCGACTTGCTGCTCTGCGACGTGATATTCTTCGATCCGCGAGCACCTTGTGTGCCTTGTATTCTGTTGTCCATGATTGTAATTGCAGAGCAACGCCTCTTGTATCATCAGAGATATCTTCATCTACACCAGCAACTTCCGCGCTGAAGTCCGAGCCTTGGATTTGAAAATGCAAGAGCCAAGGTGGTAATGCTCTAATGAAATTTGGATTGCGGTTTGTCTTGGCATGTACTTTCTTCGTCGGCTCCACATTAAGCCGTAACTGACGGACGATTTGGCGAACGCCATCACTGATCTCGGGGCGGACCATGTGAATGGAAAAGGTTTGAAGGTTGCCAGTTGCCACGACTTGAACTTCCGGGTTGGCGCTGAGCTGAGCTTTCAGCTCCAACGATTCAGTTTGAAGTAGGTCAAAATGCGCTCCGGACGAGGTCTGGTAGTACAGATCGTGGGATTGTACTCTAAGCGTCGAGCCTAGGCTATAATGAAGCTCTCCCACTGCAGAGTGCGAAGACTCGATGTCCAAAGATACCGAGGAAATTGACGAGATGATCAAATCGAAATCATCTTCAGCCGCATCCTTCTCGACAGGTGGGAGCGCGATTCGAACGACTGGTTCGTGCATCGAGAACTTGACGTTGGCTTTTGGCAGTAGCCTTGAAATGATGACATGCCTTTGCGGCTGCGTAGATTTCCGAGACTTGGGCTTGGATTGTAAGAGTGCCAGAATCAGAGGCAGGTGCTTCGGGTCCAGATCAATGGACGGCGAAGTGATGACAACATTCGAGTACAAGATGTTTGCATTTCGGTCATCAGCACTACAGTCCCGAGCGAATTCCACCGTCTTTGAGGGAAGGGTGGTTCGTACTGTTGTGGTTGCCATTGGTATGTAAGCCAGTCTATCGGACTTCCCATTTCCATCGTCAACACCAACAGAAATAGCCAGTGCCGCCACCAGAGCTTGATGAGCAACGTCCTTAGAAGAGAAATACATCCGATGCGCCGGCGACTTCTGATCAAGTCGGTGCAGAGCTACGCCAACCTCTTTCATCGACGCATTGAGATAGATGGGTGAACCACGAGGCTGTACGGCGCTGAATTTCTTCGAGAATCCAACGAAACTGACCGCGAATTGTACTTCCTTGATCCCACGCAGAATGGAACTGGCGAACTCCTTGGAGTCAGAAACGGTTTGAACGAGCTTCTGTTCACGGCTACCTGGTCTGTCGAGCTCTTCGATCAGATCCGTGACAGAGATATCCTCCGTTTCCGACTTTTCCTCTACGTGTGGCCTGCGGCAGTCTTTGTAACTATTCATGCAAGTATTTATGTCATCGTATGGTATATGTACCCGACCCAGCTTTAGCGAAATAGCAGCATCTCGGAGTCCGTCCAATTCTTTATACAGCAGTCCATGAACGTTGAGGGTCGCGTGATCGAGTACTTCGAGGGAGTCCTTGCCTTCGGGAGTAAAGAGGACGCTCCGAACTGTAAGCATCCATTCCGCAGGTCGTTGTTCTTTCTTGGGCATCTTCAGATGTGAAAACATCCTCCCTCTGTCTACCATTTTGCGCCGCGTATCCACCGCCATAGTAAAGCTCCCAACTTGAATCTGCCCCACGTCCAACACTGTCACAGAGGTATTTGTAGCCACCACATCGACCATACGGATCCAGTTGATATTCCGGTGCAAGCGCTTGATCCGTTCCTTCGCATGGGTGAGCTTTTCCCAGCTCTTACTTCTTCGAAGCGTAAAGCTCGTCTTGTTCGACAAGGGCCTCTTCTTTGGCTTGGAGTCGCAAGCTGAGCCACCGGCCCCGTCCGCTGTGCCATTGGTTCCATTTTTCGTATCAGAACCGCTGCCCTTCTCTCCGTCTGCAGCCTTCAAGTCGATAGTCACTGCCAGCTCCCTAAGGACGACACTGACCCATGTCGGCTGTGCAAAGGTCGGCCGGTGCAAGTTCAATCCCAGTCCCCTGATCTCGATTTTTATGCCATCCTTCGGCGTGTACGCGAGTCGCCTCAAGGAGAAGTAGCCGATGCGCTGGATAGATATGCCGGTGAGGATCCGGAGAACGGCGAATATGATAAAGGAGAATAGGTATGCGAGCACTATCACCCCAAAGATGAAGGTGGGATTTAGGAGCGCCATTAATCGGATTCGTTGCAGGGCGCCATTCGCAGCGCGTCGGCCGGCCTAGTATTGTCTTTCCTGCAAACTCAGTGCCTCCGAGTTACGAGTGGTGTCCTCGTTCCTAGGGCCATCCGCAGCAGCAGTCTTGGTCAAGCTCCTTCCTGCTAACAAAGCAATTCGCCGGTGCCCGGTCGGTTCACAACAGATCCGATATCCGGATCAGCATATTTCGTCCGAGTCTCTAATGATTCGTAGATGCCCGAGGTTGCTGGTCGAGATGCGGGATAGTACTGGTTGGGTGGAAGGCCGTGCCAGTGCAGCTGCTTTACCTTAGCTCTGGGACAAGGCTGAAGAGTTCGGGATTCGTGGAATGTTGTTGATGGCTGCGATGATGACGTCGTTTAAAAACAGAAAAAATGGAAAAATGGAAAAATGGAAAAATGAATCTTGCGAAAAGGAGACGTATGGGTGAAGTCAGTCGCAAAAGCGCTGTTGCGAAGTGGCGACTCGATCTGACTTGACTTTCGAGGTTGCGGTTGCGGTTGTGGTTGGTGGTAGGTATTTACTTTTCTGGTGCATCTCTTCTATCTATCTATCTATCTGCCTATCTATATGTCTACAGAGTATCTATCTTTGACGCAAGCGGGCACAGGACAACGAAGCGTCAGTGTGACACTCAAGTCGAACTGTCATTCGGTCGGTGAGGATGCAAGCGCCAATGATTCCGTGCATCTCGTAGAAGTCTGTAGTTTACACGGAGTCCCCGACCGTATTCAGAGCTTCAGATCTGGTCTGGATCCTTCTCCGGACTGCCATTCGTTCGTTATCCCCGAAAAAACGGAATCCCATATGCGCACGTGATATGCCGAAGCCGGCGCCGAGATTTGCTTGTCTGGACATCCATCAATCCAACAGACTGTCCGAAGGTATATACGGTATACAAGACTTGGACTGCCTGTCGCTCTGCCAAATATTCGTCGTCTATCCTATTTTCTGATAGCTTGCCTGACAAGAATACACACAGGCTAACTATCAACCGCAGGCTGCATTCTAACCAGAAGCTCCTCGCCCTCTCTCTAATATCTTAATCGACACCTGCATATACCTTAGATGAGCTGTACAGCCTTGAAATACGCCTCGTAAACCTACCGACCTCAATATCAGACCCTCTTGGGAAAGTGGCATAATCCATGTAACTATCATAATTCTCTCAAATATTCATTGACCGCTTGCCGTATTCATTCTTCCTAGCGATTGCCCTTTCTAATGCTGGCCACGTTCGATGCAGCGATGACTCTAGGATCTCCCCGCCAGAGTACATTATTTGGACAGATGATATCGTCAATCTACTTCAGCGCTTCGGACGAACAGCTATATTACAGCGCTATCCAATTCCTTCTCCCCTTTACTAGCACGACCCGGCGATATCAACGAAAGTTCTCGTGATGAAATCCAGCCAGCTCAGTCGTACGCTGATCTTGTTCTCGGCTGGAAATTGCCGGTAAATTCGACGCGAGGGTAGATTGAGGCGTAAAACTTCTTTCATGATATCGAGGCAAATGATTTGAAAGAAATCGTCACCCCATTTCCAGTTCCTTTCCTTCTGATCCGAGAGACAAGTTGCCAGGGTAGAACGCCAGAGGACAGGGTTATGGCCACTCCGGTCTTTGAAAACAGATCTCCAGAAAGCCTCGGAAGTATCTCGCTCACATTCCTAGATCTTTCATCTAGAGTAGGCCCGGCGCACTCACATAAGCCAGACTCGTTCGAGCTTTTACTTGCTTTTGAGTAAGACATAGGATATATGCGTTACCGAAGACCAAGCTTGGGCAGCATACGGTCAAGCAACGTGGGCTTTTGAGTTGAGGATTCGAGACCTGGGACATTGAAGAAGACAACTTGGACAGTTATATCATCCCGCAAGCTCCGGGAGAATGGAGAACTGAATGCAAGCCGACCAGCGAGTAATTCATGGTGGTTTCCGCCTAATGAATTTCGCACCAGGTGCACAGCAACATTGTCATCTTGAAAGGTTGCCCTCTCCGCCACAAACTTCCAGCTCACACCTTTCCGAAAGTGACGAAAATCAAATGGCTCGTGCGTAGGCTCTGGTGTACGGCTCGAATCTCGAGATGCTCGACGTTCCAACCATCCTTTAACCAGATCAACGGCCTGTTGATTGGTGAGGGTATCCCATAAACCGTCCGTTGCTAAGATTAAGAAGGAGGGTTTGTTTGGATCAATCTTCGTCGTGGTGACAATCGGCTCGGCAGTTATGTATGGCGGTGTTCGAATGTCGTACTTTGGTGTGAGGGGTCTTGGGCCATAAAGCCTCCTTTTCAGATCCTTCTGTAATTCGACTGCCCATTTCCACCGACTGTCGCCAAAGGCTCGTGAAACTACAAGCCCTAGCACCCTTCCGTCCTTAACTATGCCTTCTTCGCCAGGGTGCTCCTTGCTGATTCTCGCCACTTCCTCTGGATTGTTGGCCGTTTGGTCCACTGACAGAGGAATAGCTCTCCACTTGCCGTCCGAATCTTCCCGTCCCAACACTGCTCGCGAGTCGCCTGTACACGCCACTTGTAGTGTGCTTGCCGCGGGATCATACATAGCTAGCAAGGCGCATGAGCCTGCCCAGGCAGACTCAGATTTCTTCACTTTGTCCTGAAGAGGTTCTTCACTCTGAGCGGCAGTCAAGGCTAGCTCCATGATGGCTTCGTCGAGGTCGACGAACCCTTTCTTAATAGCAGTTTGGATCATCTTGTCGGATCTCACTGCCCCTCCTGGAGTAGGCTCAATATTGCCCAAGCTATATCGCACAAAAGGCAGGAGTTGTTTCTGGAGAAGTGCCGCTGTCTGCCAGCCTGCATGACCATCGAAAACGCCCCAGGCCATCCACTGATTGTTATCGTTCCACGGCGAAGGAAGCTTCCCATGTGTGAATCGGTCCTCGCACACACTATTTGAAGCTAGTTGGGTGCCATCGTATCGATTAACGCCGGAGACGGTTTTGACCATGAATGAATATGAGTTCTGCGATAAGATACGCGTCACCGCATTTTTTGACGGACCTGTGTCGAAGACCAATTGCCTCGTGGGTGGTCCCTCGAGATCAAGACGTGGAGCTTCGTCAGAGGAAGGTGTCAGCCACCAGAGGCCTGGTACAGCGACCGCAGCAGCACACACTATGTATGCAATGGTCTTTGGGAGGGCTGAATGTAAACCTTGAGCACCTGCGGAAAGATGAGAGAAACTCCTGAACTTCGACGTCTTGAAGTTGGGCATTGCAATCACGCGATCTGGTCGCACTCGCACTCGCACTCGCGGCCGCGCTCGCGCTCGCGCCATGTGTAACAAGAGCATTAGTAGTATGTCGGGAGATAGCGAGAACAAGCACTTCGCGTGGAGATAGAGTTCGAGCTTGAGTAATGTGGAATGGGTTGGTTGAAGAGAGTTCATCGCCAAAGTAGGGGTGTTGAGGTACTCCGCAATCACGTCGCCCCAGTAACCGCGCTAAGGCCCGAGTGAGATATCCTGCCTCAGGCATAAGTGAGGCCACAACCAAGAGAATTATTCTTTCTCTCCGTTATTCCTGGATATCAAAGTCCTGCAATAGCCGGAGACTATCTAAGACGTACAAGGCTACCTCAGCACCTTACACCTCGTCCACGGCATCACCAAAGCCGAGTCGAGACTCGGGAGCGTTTCAAGGCTTTCGTAACTTCTCTTCGCAACCACGTCGCCTTCCTTAAACGACGCTGCCAAAACACGCACCATGCATATGAACGGCCGACCAGAGTCCCTCTCCAACTAACCACCAAGCGCTGCTGTCATCTTCCCTCAAGCGCTGCCCGCTGCGGTTGTGTATCTCCCATATCCTTTTTAGCAATGGACTTGCGAATTTCAGACGGCAGACTCTTCTTCACAATACCAAGCTCCCACGCCAGCCCCACGAACAAGAGCAGTGGACATGGGCCGCGAAGCAAGATCCGCCCTTGGTATATTCTCGATCTGAATTACCGAGTACGATCCTCCGCATAAACCTTTCCAAGTCTTTGTATTTGTTTTTTGCCTTTTCACAATGGGCGTGTTTGCTACGAAACATATGACAGTGTCAAGAAGGTGGATGTATGGGGGTTACCGTTGAGATGGTTTCCCGGACTTGAATGTTGACTTTTGCATGTTTTCCTGCTGCCTGTCCCCCCGAGTGGATGGTTTATTACAGTAGCGCCAGGCGTAGGTGCCAACAGCGCTTTACTTCATTTATTTCACGACGTCGTCAAGTCATTGGTTCAAACTGTTGTCTCTGTCCATCCCTGCCCTTGCGGTTGTCAGTCAAGATGACTTACCAACAGTCAATTCTATCCAGAGAAAGCAGCCCAGAACGCGGGTGGGTTCTCTCGGACATCGATCCGCATGGCCTCCTTCAGCCTACTCAAGGTACGCAGGGTCTCGGAACGAAAACGAAGGATACAAGAAGGAGCAACAGGCTCGTCTACGATCACTCCAACCCCAGACCTTTCACGGGCCTCTTCATCACAGCCGCCTCCCTTCAAGAATGGTATGTAGAGCTGGGCAGCTCAGATTCTTGATCCGTCCTATCGCGCATCGCCGCGGGGAAGATACAATAACAATATCCTTTCAAGATTACAACATGCTTTGGATTCAGATGCAGAGGCAGATCTTGACTCCGCAGTTATCTAAATATAGTTCAAAGCGATTAGGGTCACTCAGAGGTAGAGGTAGAGGTAGGTTAGAGCTCCTACAAGCAGCAAGAGCATTTCATTTCCACTAAGACAGAATTTAGATAAATTTCATTGTCTAGTGAACGCCAACCAAACCCAACCTGCTATAAGCTGCTCGCGCTTCTGTATTGAATAGATCATGCGACCGTTATGATGCATGGTGAATTTACGACCTGATAATGTCATCATATCATGGATCGAGAAAGACACTTTGGAAATCACTGGGCCAGTTGTTACTCGGCAATGTGAGAATCGAATATGTGGATTGAGATGGAACGAAAATGAGAATGGAATGAAAATGGAATGCAAGTGAAAATGGAATGCAAGTGAAAATGGAATGCAAGTGAAAACGAAAATGAAAAGACAGAGAGGCTTCAGTGTCCGAAAAAGAAAAGAACCACGACATGTGTTTACGGATTGGGAATCAAGCGACTACTTACTTGCCTGCCGCCCTCACCGGCAAGCACACCGACGCGTAGGCACAAGATACCTTATCTTTCCTGATCAACCATCTCGTACTCCAAGAGTTGAAAAGGCAGCTAGCTAGCTCCCTCTCTGTCCGGATCGCTCGATCCCAAGTGCTCGACAACTACCGGTCCCTAGCTCTCCTTCGTTTCGTATCCCCCTGGACATCCATCTCAAACAATCAACCCCTCTCACACCAGCAGCATGCCGACTGCCAACAAAACGCGCGACGCAAGACAGCCACCAGATATCTAGGCTCCCGTCGCCAACTCCTTACTCAAACTCGAAGCGTCGTTGCCCGCAACCTGCACTTGGATCTGCGGCACAGCCGCCGTTGAAGGCCGCGTCTGAGTCGACCCGATCGGCGGATCCCCAGACGCAGCTACCGCAGCCGTCGCGGCGGTGGTGGTGTGGTCCGTAACCGTAACCGTAACATGCTCCCTCGTTGTCGAGTAATCCGTAACCTTGATACGCTCTGCTGCAGCTGCAGCGACATCTGCAATCGCAGTGAGGGATCCAGTGAGCACAATTGCGCTCCGAAATCGTCGTCGCCCTCGCCACTCCCATCTCCATCACCTCCTGCGCAGGCCCCATCGTGTCCTTGTCCGCATCCGTCTCCGTATCTGTCTTCCCAACGCCATCCCGCTACGCTACGGCAAACTCGTAGCCTCCCTTCTGGCTGTCTCGAGCCCGGTCCCAGCTTGGACAGACAGCAGCAACCACGCTCGACGAACGTACACGTCTCTTCTCCGAGCCCGCGAGAGTGAGAACAGTCGGGTCGGCGCCCGCGCCCGCGCCCGCGATGGGGCTGGGGCTTGCTGGGGCGACGTACGGGCGTTCTGCGGACATGATGTGCGGTCGTTCGCCGGACAGGAGATGCGGCGCGGGGCTCTCGAGGGAGTCGGCGTGCGAGAGACGGTTCGTGTGTAAGTCGTCGTCTGGGACCACGGCCGGCCGGTCCTGTGGGCTGTCGTGGGTATCCGTTGGTCGTCCACGGGGGAGAGACTCCCGAGTGTTATCGACCCACGCGTCTTCCGTCTTCTGTGACGACGGAGTCTGGGGAGCAGTGACGAATGTGTCGGTTGCGGTTGTCTCTCGAGTAAGTGTTCGATGAGCTGCAGCGCCTGTAGAGCTGTGACTGCTCGGCGTGTCCTGGGAGCGATCCCGTGGGGTCTTGGATGGCTTCAGGGGCTCTCGCGGGCTTGGGGTATGTGTCGTTGATCGCGTAGGATGATGGTGTTCCTGTAAAGCTCTTGCGTAAAGCAGGAAGAAGGGATTCTCGAAACTGCTCTCGCCTATCTTTCACTCCTGCAAAAGATGATCTGAGTGGTCGCACGTTCGTTGACCCTAGAGCTCTACGGAGGGAAGAAGCTTGGGAGGCGGCTGTCTCCTGGGACAGCTCTCGAGGGATGATAGCTGGGAAAGGATCGGGTTCTGGACCGGCCGTTGGAACATCATCATTCGCTTTCTGGGGCAGTGTTTGAGGAGGGTTTGGCACCACAAGTCGGGACCGACGGGACTTCTCTTGCGTAGCGAATCTTCTCGGGTAGCCAGGTCGGAGGACCGATGGGACACGGGTAGGCCTCTGCTGGAGGCTTCAGTTTGCCGTTCCTAGACTCTCACGCTGCTGCGCCTCTTGACCTCGAGGACATTTCCTCAAGGGAGTCTCCGGGAAGAGGTGGGTTGGTGCTGGCTCTCCCAGGTTAACGTACTGCTCCGGGGTAGACAGTCTGCACTAGTTCGTGGGAAGACCAAAAGGTAGATAGAAACTCGGGGCGCGATTTTGAGGACTTGCAGATGATAAGGTAGTGTAAGTCAATCGGTTCACATACTGAGCTGCCTAGATGGGAGCCACGGATGTGCGTTGTGCGTCTCTGCCTGACAGGTGTTGTTGTTGTTGTTGTTGTTGTTGTTGTTGTTGATGTGATTCGAATATCTTGCGAGCGAGTCAACCACCCGGACGCAGAGAGGGCAATCAGCCAGCGAGAGATTCAACGGCGGAATCGGAGACACTTAACCTTTCAAGAAGCTGGACTGCAGCTTCATCATCACGTAGACTGGCTGTAATAGCTTGATTTAAATTTTGAACAAGGCGAGCCCCATCATCGATGGCAATTTACGCGACACCACACGGCTCGGTAGACTTCAACGGATCGGGAGTCTCCTGTGTCGTGCGCGCAACAGAGATAAGCAAGCAAGCACATTTTCACACCCGATGAACACAGACCGCATATGGAAAAACAGATGGACACGATCGGAGATAAACCAAAAGGCATTAATAGATACCCATCCACGACTCACATCTGAAAAGAAGATCGCCGCTCGACCTGCGTCCGACAGTCGCCAACTCCAGGTGCCAACTCCCCAGATTCAGAAAAGCAACACCCGGCGCTTGGCCCCGAGACATACAAGTCCCCCGAGGCAAACGACATGTAGGTAGTACTCGTGGTAGCTCTAGCAACAGTGCCAGCCAGTCATCCAAGCATCGATACCGGCAGCATCACCTATCTGTGCATAGCATAGGGAAGGGTGCTACCTAGTGCTGGACACCCTACAGTATTGAGCATACACAGCCCACGACAAGGAAGAAACCAAGAATATCACCTGTCCCAGAGAAGGACCCGGGTCTCCCCGCCGGAGCCAACCTCAGAAAGATACTACGTACGTACTACGTCCAGCGCAGACTTAGCACGCCCGGATCTCTCTCATATTGCAGATACGCTGACTGGATGGATACGTCGTAGATTTCCTTTCGCCAAATCGCTACCGGTAGCTGTCCTCTGAAAGCTAAAACCGAAAGCTAAGAAGCCCGGCGGGGGAAGGGGAGGGGGGAAGGGGAAGGTTCGAGGTAGTAGTAGTAGTAACATCGAAGAACTTGAGGACGAACAAGATCTTACTTCTGGAAGCCCGCCCGCTTGCAGCTCATTCATGTGGAAAAAAGGGGGAGGAGAGGGGGGGGGGGGAGAGGGGAGGGATCAACACCTCAACCCACGACGAGAATATGAAAAGTATCCCCCCCTTCCTTCTCTCCTTAAAGCCCACCAGCCGATCGTGGAATCGTGAAAGATACTAGATATGTAATCCATACCCGGCCCACACACTTATTATGCTAGATAGTACCGTAGGTCCCTAGCAGCGAACGAAAATGATTGATTCTGTATCACAGCTTGTAATTTACACCAACAGAGAGAGAGGGGTCGCGTAGAGGCGGCGGGATGGGATGGGATGGGACCGGCCCGGCATCAAACTCGCCCGAATCTCATCAATCTCAAGAGCTCTAAAATCGTAGGAATCTGACTAACCCTCAAATAAGGGAGGGAGGAAGGAACGACTTCGCTGAGAGGAGCTCAGCGGCTTGCGGGTTCCATATATAACAGTAATATTTATTCTACGGCCACGGCGAGCGCGTTCATATTCAGAGCCGGGGCCTTTCGACTTCTCCTGAGGGATACCTATCTACCGGTATCTACTACATCGCGTCATGTCTGCCTTTCGACTTACTTCTCTCAAGGGGTATGTAGATCTATCTACCATCGACCCCGTGATGCCTGCTTCCGTAGTGAGTGCCGTACGATCATCGTATCTCGCTTGCGCCGCCGTGTCACGTCGCTGCATCCAGTTGCATACATACATACATACAGACGTACCGTAGTTGTACATACCTACCTACTACGTACTAAATAAGCGACACCAAACAAAAGTAAGATAAACAACAGCACGAGAACATCGGGTTCGTAGTGTGTAAATAAGCGACATCGAACAAAGTAAAATTGACAGCAGCATACCGGTAGGTAGAAACATCATCTGAGCGATGGTTTCCCCTTAGGGTGGTTACCTATCATGCACGGTGCGTTATCGTGGGCACATTTCTACGCACCACCGACCGACCAGACGGGTAGGTCTGGCGGGCAAGTGGTACAACTAAGTAGCGACGTGGCGCCAGCATGGAAACAATGCGCGGGATTCCCGATCTCCAGCCGGGTGACAGCAGAGGCAACGGCCGTGTCGTGATGGCTTTTGGGAATACCTACCTACGACTAGTTGTACGAGGGTACGACTAATACCTCTTGTAGGAGGCAGGGGAATCCTTCTAAAAGGCAGACTCGACACTATTTTAGTCTTTAGCGTGGCTGAGCCTAACCCTAAGCGTCCCGGGACGCTGGCACCTGGATGTTGAACCGCCCCCCTCCCCTTGGTTGATGGCCATTTACCGCCCTATTCCCAGCTCGCAGCGTGAACTTTAGCTAATGGCTATTTACCGCCCTGTTCCCAGAATCCCAGCTCTCGCAACTTGATCTACTCTGGTTTTTCGCGGTAACCGCTCCCGGTGTAGCGCGATGGCACGAAGGAATACCGGTACAGCACTCCATTGAAACTGAAGTATGCAGTAAAGTATACTCTAAAGGTAGATAGGGAGGGCGTAGAGTACGGAGTACATGCGCGAAATCCCTGACCCGTCGTGAACTTGTACTCGCTCCGATGTCGATTTCGATTTCGGAGACTGGAGTTTTCAACGCGGCATCGATATGTGTAAATATGATATAATATTTCCTTTCCGGTCGAGGTTCGACTCCGGAGCGGAGAGAGGATACGCGCCATATCCGCGTGCGCCATATCCGTGTACGCCATATCCGTGTAGGACAGTAGGGGCGGAGGAGCGTCTTTTGAGTTCCGGGACCGATATGCTGATCCGGACGGATCACCAAGGAGCTCCATCTCCCAACCGGAACGAAAGCTGTTGAATACGGAACAGCCCACAACTCTGCCGCGGAAACTTTTCGAACGCAGCGCAGCCAGAAAATTTCGGTCTGTTAAGTCCCCAAAAGCTCCAAGTAGAGAGGAGATGCCACTCTGCCCGTACTCTCTCCAAGACACCCGCCCTACGGTAGAGAACGGCGGATCTTGTGATTCGAGATCGTCTTGACTCTTGAAAGATCCTGAAAGAGGTCTTAGGTCTTGGGCTTGTGTCCGTACTCTGTCTTCTATCAATGCGGATGGCGTTTGTCGGGGGGTGGCGGGGCATACAAGAGTTCATGCCCAACGCGACCTGCAACCCGGTTACAGAGAGAGGGAGAGCGGGGGGGGGAGGAGAGAGAGAGAGAGATTGGTATGAAATCTACGGAGTAGACTTCTTCCACGGGACCTTCTAGAAAGGAAAACAGGTTCGAACAGGTTCCAAGAGTGGGAGAGAACCAGGGCCCAGGGCTGGGAGGTGGTCGTCGCTCACGACGCAGGGACCAAACCACAGAGACGCCGGCGCACCGCGCGACTAGGGCGCGGCAGGATGGGCCTGGGGACATGCCTCAAAGATAGTACTAGTAGTAGTAGTAAGTAGTAGTAAGTAGTAGTAAGTAGTAGTAAGTTGTAGTAAGTTGTAGTAAGTTGTAGTAAGTTGTAGTAAGTTGTAGTAAGTTGTAGTAAGTTGTAGTAAGTTGTAGTAAGTTGTAGTAAGTAGTTGTAGCATGGGCCGAATCATGGCCCTGATCATTACTGTAAGTAGGAGGCCAGGGGCTTGATAGGTTAGGTTGGGTGATCTCCCTGCTGGACACGATGGTAGCTGCTCCGTATCTACCCAGTGTCGACGATACAGTACAGTAGAGACCGCGGCCGGCCCGCGGGAGAGAGGTGGTATTTCCGGTGTACCAGGAAAACTCTACCCTTATCTCTACAGCATGAAGGACGTCTGTCGGGAAATGTACCGTATGCCGCTTTGCTGTAGCTGGCGTTCCAAGGCATGTAATTAATTGTATGTATCTTGAAACCCATGTCGGACGGGACGGTTCTGTACAGAGTAGTCGACAGCAGCTATCAGAATGCATCGGCTTGAAATACTACTACGTAGTATTTAGGGCTTTCAGCTCATGGCCGTTCAGCGATATTCCTCGTCGGCGGGTGTCGGTGACTCGGTGGGTGAGGTTGAAACGTGCCCGTCCGTGCCCGACAGGCAGCGTGTGGGACTTCCAGATAACAGGGAATTCCCTCTTAGAATCAGTAGTACATAGTACATCTTTGTGAATTCTGACTGTGCTTTTCCAGCAGCTGGGTCCTGGAGCTACAACGCGTACGTAGTAGCTCGAGGTACCACTCGTACAACTACTACTATGTTGGCCTGCTGAATTGGAAGGATGGAGGAAGGCAACCAAAACACTGGCTGTAAGATAGCCGAGGCGACGAGTGATACCGGCTTGAGATACCGGTACCTAGCTACACAGTCCCCATAGTCAGGCCAACTCTCGCCCTCTCTGAAGTCCTTACTTCAAAGCTCTGTTTAGGAGATGGAAGTAGTAGTACGTGGTAGTAGTACGACAACTACCCTACTAGTACTGAAAATATTTATGCTCACTTCCTTATCTTCTTATTTTGCTGTTCCTACTTACTTACTACGTACCTTGCTTGTCCTTGCATAAGCACCGTATGCACCCAGTTCACCGTCCCAGCTGCTTCTCGAAGGCCGCTAGAAGCATGTTACTCTCGCCATGGGCTCCCTCACACACGGGCCATTTAGTGATTTGGCAGGTGTCCTTCCTTCATCCACCTCGTAAATCGCAAAACGATTGTCAAATCGACGAGGCGTCGATGTCTCTATCAGCTTGCTGACTTGACTTGACTTGACTTGACTTGGCTTGGCTTGACTTGACTTGACTTGACTTGATACGTATCGCAACGCTATCGACCGAAGAAGCAGAACCCTCACGATTCATGCTCGCTACAGACATGCACGCTTTGTTTGGACGAAGACGATGGGGAGGGAAAGAAAAGTAGACGAGTCCACCCGGCCAAAGCTCCTGATTACGATTACGAAGTGGTAGTACGTAGTCCCTACTCCGTACTCTGTAGATCTCGACCCGCCTTACTCAGGGGATGTGGATGTCGACAAACAAGGCTCAGGATTTCAGGATTCCATGCGGGACAACCGCAGGCAGCAAATCACGGGCGGCGACTTGGGGCTTGGGCATTCATGGAGTCAGTGCCGAGGAGACTTCGGAGAGTAGCGAGAGCGGGGGATGGAAAGCGTGGTACATGTGCGCAGTGGTGCGTATCAGGCCTGAGCGCAACAGGTTCCAATACTGACGAAAATACTAGTACGTAGTAGTACTTACTACTACAGTACATGTTGTATGATAGGCCTGGCGGAGAGCACCATGATGGTGACAGTCATCGTTGCATGCTTTGGTTTTCAATCTCGGTCCACCGAGAGAGCTTCATGCCTTCATGCCTTCATGCCTTGATGCCTTCATGCCCTCATGCCTTCATGCCTTCATGCCTTCATGCCTTTATGCCTTCTGGCACAGACCTCACTTGTTGGTCAACCTCATGGCCACTGGCCAGCTGCAGGAGCCGAGTCGACATACCATTTCAAAGCCTATCTATCTATCTCCAAGCACGGACGGCCTCCACAACTGCGAGCAGCGTGGATGAGCATTGGCACATCGAACAGCCTCTTGGTCTCGGAGACTTGAATCTACTACTACTAGTACCAACTCTGGGCCTGAAAGGAGAAAATTTGATATAGGGGGAATTATCAGGCAGACTAATTTCGCAACGAGTCTATCGGCTTTTGCTCTGGACATCTAATAATAAGCGCTATGAGTGAGTTATTGAGCCGTCTATTTTGGTTGACGATCGGAACGAGACTGAAATAGTACAATGGTACTGCGGGAGGCAATTAGCACTCACCCCAGGAGGCAGCTCAATCTTTCTAACGCGCAACCTCGAATATCGTGAGCTGTAAAAAGCCCCATCTGGTTACAGCGTGCGTCGCTACAACTTACCGGTACTTTACAGACTCCGTACAAGTCTCTTCAACGATCAGATGCGGACTGATCGCGACGGTGTGCAAAGCGATCCATGCACCTGGGTTCCTGCTGCGCTGAAGCAATGTCCTTCAGGCAAAGCCCTCATAGTGTTCCGTGTCATTGCGAAGCTCAAGGCTAAAAGTAGCAAGCTTGATGCTAAAAGTAGCACGTTCTCATCGTCGAACGATCGAGCTGGTCGTCTTAACTTCCTCCTGAAACAACCCACGGATCTGCACATTATCGTCAGCTTGCATGACACACGGACTTACAAGTATACTCTGTACAGTACTGTACACACGGTAGAGTAATACAGTATGGCAGCCGGGGTCAGATATCAGTCGCAGAGCGGCACCCGCAAATAAAATGTACAACTAGGTAATACTCCGTACGTGACCTGGCACCTGGCCCACAAAGAGCTGCAGTTCCCACATAAACTTTTTTTCCTTCGTTCCTTCGTCCGAGATAGAAACTCGACACGAACGAATTGGTTCGGCGACAGCGAGGACTGTTTCGAACTTGCAGCGATAGACGCGACTAGCGCACATAACGATGGACGGGGATCAGCAGCAGAAATGCAGCATCAGAGACGACACAGAGAGATGGAAAGGACTTCCCGTGCGTTACAGTAGTAGTAGTAGTAGTAGTAGTACTACAATGTAGTAGTAGTACGTTGTAGTAGTGCTATTCCGTACAAATATTTGGAGATGGGGGAACACGGATCAGGACCAGGCACTTTCGCATTCTGCGCCGTGCTCACTGCTGACCAGCACGACCACCACCCAGCCCAGCGGAAAGGGGGGGAAGGCCAAGGGCCAAGGGGGGATGGGGAGAGGATAAAATAAGACTTTCGAAGCGGCACTGCGGATTCCTCCAGGCTTCTGGAAGCAGCGCAGAGCATGGGCAGAGCGGGGGCTTCTAGAAGTACTGGAAGAAAGATTAGAAGTACTATACCTACCTACTACTATCCCGGAACGTGCAGCTCAGGCCCGAAATTGAAGCCGGGTGCGTGAAGTCAATGGCTCCCATCCCACGGCCTCCATGGTGCGAAGTCCTCGTTAAACATTGCCATCACATAAGGAGTTCTGGATACGGACAATGGTAGTAGTTGTGCCGGTAGGTTAGCAGAAGAGTTCTGTTCCGAGATTTCTTCGTAGCTTTAGTTGTACCTAGTAGTAGTTTGGAGCTAGCACAGATGACTAGCTGTAAGAGAGCTAGGTTCCCGGTTATCTAGGAGTACTTTATGGCCTTTGGCGCTAGAAAAGGGGCTACTACTAAATTCTAGCCCGGCATACACATCCTTTGGAATAAACTTTGTAATGCTTACCTTACTCCGTAATACTAACAGCTTTATATCCGTGTCGCTATCGATCGTGATCTGTTGCACCAAGGTACGACTACTATTTGTTATTAGCACGCCAACCTCGCTTTAAACAAATCAACTTTATATGTAACCACAGTATAAACCAGCTTGGAACCAAGTGGGCCTGGTTTATAGCTACAGCCACGAACTACGTACGTAGTAGTACTACGGCTACCATAATTCGTACAAATTTCGGAACAAAATCCCTCTAATGTTAAGGGAGATATGCTATGCAATCCATCCTGCCTAGAAAGGAGCTGACCGGATATCGGTGGAGATTTATTACTAAGTGCTACTGGGTACTACTAGGTACTGTCGAAGGCTACCCAACCCACGGCCGAGGTACGAATTTAAAAGTAGTTGGAGGTACCACCAGTCGTAGCAGAAGTATTTATAGACTTACTAGTACTGTATGTATTTCTTTCATGGCCACTTCGCCCTGCTGGTACTTAGTAATTGAGAGATTGCTTCTCGACGACATTGCGGTTTCAGTTCCTGGTCTGAGTCTGAGCAGCGAGGAACATACCGTAGTAGTAGTACATGGAGTACCTATGTACCTACAATGTCGGTAACGCACGCACAGCTCTGCCAGAGCCCACTGCTCCTGAGTAGGTAACAGAAATAGAAGTGTCTTTTAAAATAGTCCCATACTTACGATAGGAGCCTCCGGGTCGACTCTATGCTTGCCCTGCCCAGTCCGCTTGAATGGACTCCGCTTGAATGGCTTGAATGGTCCCGATACCGATAGTCTTGCCCGTTGCCCTATCCTCCCCTTGGACCCGAGCGAGTTGTCCTCGTATGTCTGTACCCGCTATGAGTTCTTCTTCTTCTTCTTCTTTTACCTTGAGCCTGTACCTATAACATGCTGTGCCTGAGCTCGCCATCGCCATCGCCGTCGCCATCGCCATCGCCATCGCCCTCGACCTCCCTTCCACCTCCCTTCCACCCCCCTTCCACCTCACACCGGCACCCAAATCTCCTGGCCAGCCAGCCTCCCCTGCGCCGTTCCCTGCACGTCCTTGGGCCCTCGGGCCCATGGGCGCCAGGGCAGTGTGCATGGATACGTACATGGATATGGGCTTCAACTCTTGTTGTGCTTTAGCGAGTCTTCAGGAGGTTTGAAGAAAGAATCCCCAGGCCCAAGGCGCACCACTGACCAGCCTCTAGTGTTCCCCCGAAACCCCCTGGCCGCAGGAGGAATTTTGGGACTGCAGGCCTGCGGGCCTGCTGGGCGACGATTAGTTGTAAATACTCAGAAAAGGAGTACTAGTAGGTAGGTAGTAAGTTACTACTACTACTACTACTTGTACACACACACGACCTGGTACTCTCTCCTCTCGCTGGTCGGATCCCGTTCTGTCCTGTCCTGTCCTGTCCTGTCTTGTTCTGCAGGTCCTTTCCGGCTCTGTATCTCTCTTGGGTCGTGTCGAAAAATTCCATCCCATCCCAAAGCCCACACCCCCCTCCCCACCCCCATCTCGCCGAACCAACAAAACTACCTTCATTCCTCTGGGTCCCTGATCAACCAACCAACTAAACCGACCAACTAACCAACCCATAACGAGTCCCGAATCAACACCAACGACTCCCGTGGGGACCTCACCTCTTCTGTCTCCATCTCTGCCTCCGCCTCTACCTTTGCCACTACTTTTCACCTCTACCTCTTCCTCTGCCGCCCCCCTTGGAATAGGTACCCAGTACCCAGCCAGCATCCAGCCCGGTCCTCCAAAGCTCAGACACAAACAGACTCATCCTCTCTGTTAGATAGGTATCGAGGATCCAATTCGATTCAACGCCTGTGTGTTTCCCGAAACCTGCCCATACCGCATCTTCCTTGTACGTGCAGCGGTGTTCCGAGGCGATCCTAAGCTTCCGTGTCACCCCAAATTTCAACTTCGTTTCCAACGTCGACGTCGACTCTTGGCCTAGGAATCTCATAGTCATCACAGCGATCAATTCATTGCAAGTCCTGCTCCTGCTCCTGCTCCTGCTCCTGCTCCTACCACTACCACTACCACCAGGGATTCTCTTGACGAGGTACATCCAGCTAACCGTCCGCAGCGTTTCTTCCCCCTCGACCCGCTCTTACCTCGTCAGCCTGCTCCCGCGCTGCAACTCGACTTTTTCGGCGCCTCGATCAAACCTGTCCTCACCCACTTCCACATCCCGCTCCCGTGCACGAAACGAAACACAACAAAGCAACCTGGGAATAAGGAAGGCTACGGGCAAGTGGAACGTCGCCCCGGCAAAAGGCCTCAGCTCCTGGTCCACTACCCAGCCCAGCTCGGAGTTGCAGTGCGCACCTGATCGATCTTCATCTCGAGCATCGACGCGTTCTTTCTCTGGAAAGTCTGCAAAGGAAGGGAAGACTTGAATTGTCTGGCATACATCACATTGGGCGACATACGGCTACGCTGATCTTTGATCTGCTTTCGCCGCCACGACTTCACGATACATCACGTATTCCGACGAACCTCTGGCGCGTGCCTCAAACACTGCAGGATACCGCGAGCTTCCGTCTCTGGAGACAGAGACACTGGCCAACTGGAGAGCCAGTGGTGACACAAGACCAGCCTGGCCTAGCCACTGCTCTACACCCCGTGCCATCATCAACACCACGATCCGGCGGCAGCAAAGGGTCCCCTCCACCACCTCACTGATTTCCGTCTCCAGATTCCCTTGCTCGCTCGCCTGTCTTGTTAGACTCGGCCAACTCGCCCCCTTTCCACGACAAAGCGGCAATTCCAACGAGTTGCGACTCGCTCGGGCGACAGAAATCAGACGCAGACGGCGCGAACAACAATTACTATATTAAACTCTACCCTACCAGGGCCAGCCGCAGCCAATTTTCAACAGGCCGCCTGGTGCCCGTGCGTTCTGACATTCCCGCGCCCCACGAACCCACGAACCCACGAACCCACCATCCGCATTAGCGGATATCGCGAAGCTGGGAATCTTCGGACCAACGCCTCTGTGGATTCTTTGGGTTTGGCTCGGCTACAAACGTTGACAAGGTGAGCACGTTCGGATTGATGCATCCTTACACACACACACTCACACTCACATTCACACTTACACTCACACACGTCCCGACCTCCACTCTGCTTTCTTTCTCTTCTCTTGACGAGTCCCTTTTGTCCTCCCGCGAGTAGGCGGTGTGGGTGTGACAGTAATGAGCACGTCGGTCGCGATTCCATTCTGTTTGCCTTGTACCCTTGCACGTCCCAAGAGATAGAAACTGACGTCGACGATCCCAAGGTTTTTCTCGGTTTCTCTGTTGGACAACAAACAAATCTTTGGAGTAAGATCACCCACCGCGCCAGATTTTCTACCCAACACGCTATCTCGATTGCGCTGCATTGCCAAGCTGTTTGCCCAGATCGCTTCTGACGAGTAAGGCACGCTCACCACGTCGGATATTCTTCCGCAGGCGCGTCCCCGAGACAAAGCCTCAGATTCGAGACACCACAGCGATTCCCGAATCTAAACGGGACTGTTGAGCGAACGCCTGATCCAAGCGTCGCCATCTCCCTATAACCCCCTCCGCGCCGTACCACCCACACTCTTTTTCGAACCGACCGTCACTCCATTTTTCATCATGGATATCAAGCAGATTGTAAATGCCAAAGGCCCCAAGGCCGCCGCCGCCGCCGCGGCAGCAAATGGCGTCCCACAAGATCTTCATCTCCTTCAATCAATCTCGCAAGCCAACAGCATGCACATGTCTGACACTGGATCGGAACGAGGGAACTCGCCCCATGATTCGGAGCATTCACGGTACTCTGGCTCTGCTCCGAGATACGGACAGATGAACGGCATGAATGGAGCTCCAAATATGCGTTACCCATCTCCGACCGCTATGCAAGCCCCGCTCCCTATGTTGCAACAATCTTATCCATCCGATCCGAGATTCGATAATGGTATGATGCAACAAGAAAGCATCCGAAGTCCTGCGCAGTCTGGAAACGGCATTGCGCAGAAGGCTTTCTCGTGTAGCTCGTGTGGAAAAGGCTTTGCGCGAAGAAGTGATCTCGCCCGCCATGGTAAGCCTTCACCTGTCCGCTTGAAACTACACCACTGATCTTCTTCTTCCAGAACGTATCCATAGTGGTATCCGGCCCCACGTTTGCGAGCATCCAGGTTGCGGAAAGCAATTCATTCAACGTTCGGCATTGACTGTACACATGCGAGTCCACACCGGCGAGAAGCCTCATATGTGTGAACGATGTGGCAAGGCAAGATCTGTCCCTCCACCTGCTTCTTCGTATCTAACAGCCTGCAGCCTTTCAGTGACTCCTCTTCCCTGGCTAGACATCGTCGTATTCATTCTGGCAAGAGGCCATACAAATGCCCCTACGCCGACTGTCAGAAGACCTTCACCCGCCGAACCACTTTGACTCGCCATCAGAACCACCACACTGGAACCGTCGAAGAAGCTGCCGCTGCCACTGCCGCCGCTCTCGCCACCCGTACCGGAAGTCAACGAGGCGGACGTCAACGATCAGATGGAGAGCAGTATTCGAACAATGGATCTCCAATGTCGACCCCATCTCCTGGCCAAAGAACCCTTTCTGCTTCGCCCAACTCGGAACTTGCACCTCTCAGCAGCATGCACCGCCATCCAGTAGAATACCAATACATCGGCAACCAGCACCTGCCCAATCACGTCAGAGGAGAATACCACATGCAAGGCCAACCACCTACCACTGCCTCGTACAACAACGGTATGAGACCCACCTCTCACCCTACTGGATACGGACCTCCTTCAATCTTGGAGCCCCCTACCCACCCCGAGCGTAGTGTGACTGGTAGCCCTCACATGAGTAACTCTGGATGGGCATCGCCATCGCAATCGCAAAATGGTATGCCGTCGCCTTCGGCAAGTAACGGCTACGTTTATCCAGACCCAGATCCTTATGGATCTCAAATGGGCCAACAAATGTATTACCAAAACTCTAACATCCGACGACTACAAAGCCCCGAGGGTGAATACGATGTCAAGCCACGTCTAAATCAAGAGATGTGGACCGCTGCTCAATAAAGGGATGCTTATGGCATTTCTAGCGTTAGAATCATACTCCCGTGACACTACCGTGGACTATTCTGGCGTTGGTCATGAAAAACTTTCCACCAGTCTAGAGTATAGTAAAATTTCTCCACGACTTTGGATTTTGATATCCGAAATTTTCAACGAACAAAAGTCCTCCGAGCATCTTTCCAAGTTGCCTTCGAGACACCTTCGATACCCTGTACATTCCGAAAATCTTACTACTGCCCTTTTCCTTTGTTTTGTCGGAGTTTACCTGGGCACTGCGGCATACACATCAAGGTCTACAGCACTCTCCCAAACAAACGGGTTGCTCAAATTTCTTTTGTCCGTTTCACTCTACTGCCTTTCTTTTGCTCCGGTGCGAGCGGGTGGTATACACAAATAGATCGGGTCTGGTACACGGGGCCCTATGGCGGGAATAGGGAGCTAGCCGCGAGGCTCATCTCATGATACCAATGATGTTTCGGCCTTTTTTCTTTCTTGCCTCTGCTGTCCGTCGCTTGATTGGCGAGGCGGCCTCTCTTTCTGGGGAGCGAACAAGGCCGATGAAAATATCTGACGGGACTTGCTCCTCGTGAAGGGAAGGCTGGGGATTCTGATGGGGGTTTGGTGGGTTAATACAAAGGTTAATGTAGATTAGAAGGGGCTGCGGTATCCGCGCGCTGGGATTGAGAGTGAGCAATGAAGGTGCTGATCAAAAAAATTGTGCTGATCGTGATTGATATACTATGCCGGTGTCGCTGTTGTGATTCGCGGTAAGTATGATAGGGGATAAATATAAAGTAGAAGGTGGGTTTTTGTGGGTATACTGCTGTATTTTCTTGATATGATGGATAGCCTACCTGTATTCGTCCGCTTTTCAAGTAGGAGAGGCGGCGGGGGAGGGCGGACTGCTTTTGTATCTGTCTTTGTGTTTGTTGCCTATCTACCTACCTCGCTGCTAAGGAGGGTGGGTTGTATTGCGATGTGTTGCGATGGAATTTTGTTAATATGGGTTTCGATATGGTTGCGAGATTGAGAGTGGAGATGGAGATATCTACGTACCTACATATACTGCGGCTTGGGCGGGAGGTTTTGTGGGATGTTTTTTTTTTTTCCGTAGGTTCCGTAGTCGTGGGAGGGGGCGATGTGGGCTGGCTGTATTAGATGAGGCGGTTGGTTTGTTTGGAGGCGGAGAGAGGATTGATTCTTTTGGTTGGGTGGGGTGGGGTTAGGGGGGGGGTTGATTGATCTATGATCCATGGTTTCTCCCAAATGGATATATATTTTTTTTTCCACGTTTTTTATATGTGAAAGAGGGTGGGGGGGAATTGGAAGAATCGGTGCTGGGAATGAGGTCGCTCGCTCGTTGTTTAGCGAGCGCGCATGTAAACAAACGGGTTGGTGGACGGACGCATCTATGGTGTTGTTGCGGATTTCATTGCCAAACTTGGCATGCCTGCCGTATCTTCTGAATGTGTCCTCGGAGCGCAGGAAGATTGTCGCGGGTAGCCTCTGGGGCAGTGATGGCAGGGGGATTGGTTTGTAAGCGTTGCAGGTAGGTAACTACCATCCCGGGAACTCTTTCTTTGGTGCGTCACGTCTCGAGCTTGTCTCCCCGCTATCTTCAGGATCACAATCTCATTATTGAATCGCAATAGGAGATATCTGAGATCGATTGTCCCGCATCCCTGGCCTCAAGCTCCCGCTTTGCTTCCTCTTCGCAACAAGAGCAGCCGTAAAGACCAGCGCAGCAATCTCATCTCCTCGCAAGCAACGCTCCGGGCCCTACTACGGCGAATCAGCATCTCAACTACCATCTCCATCTCGGTGCCATCCCAGGAGGCTAGGATGAGTGCGTTCTCAAGAGAACCACCTCTGTTATTCCTAAACCACATCAAGGAAGCGCACTGAACAACAACCAGGTGTCCTCGATAAGTTGATCATCACGCTAGGCTCCCAACTCTGCGCCTCTCCCGCATCCCTCGTCTCCCATACCTATTTGCGCCTTATAACACCTATTAATATACATAGTAAATAAACAAGCGGCTCTTCACAATCCCCATAAAGGTACTAGCTTCCCGGGTCTGCGAAACAGGTTGCCAACAACAGCAACAACACCACCCACCACCACCACCACCAGCCAAGCTCGGCTAGCGGTTTCTGTTCTGTTTTGTTTTGTTTGTCGTTGTTGACATCCAGATTCTCGACACGACCTCTCCCGAAAAACATAGACGGAAGCAAAAAAAAAAACAAAACACTGGTCTGCTGCGGCTACTCCAAAGAAGACCACCAGGAGCACGCTAGACGACCTAGGCTCGGGTTTGTCGAATCGAGTATCGAAAAACCGCGGTTTGGTTTAGACACCTCAGGTGACTGACTGACTGACGGACGGACGACCTTGTTCGCGGATTTCGAATTCCAGAATGCGAGAACGCATGCACGCTGATCCTCTCACCTTCAATCAAGGCTGGCTCTCTCTCTCTCTCTCTCTCTCGCTTCGTTTCTCGAGCCCCTTTTTTTTCATCCCCTCCCGGAACCTAGCCAGCCCTCTTTGCGCCTCTTCAGTGACGAGATACGGACCAAGGCAGACCCTCTCGCGTCCATACACACACACGTACATACATACATACACACACACACACCACAACCGCCAAAAAGAGGAAAACCCTCTCCTCCAAGCCCCACCAGCACCTCTCCCACGAAGGGGAGCAAGGCAAAGCAAAGCAAAGCCAAAACGAACACCTACCCAGCAACAACAACAACAGTACACCAAGCAGCAATGATCCCCCTCGCCTTCCTCTCCCTCCTCCTCCTCCTCCTCCTCCTCCTCTCAACCGTCGTCACGCCCGCGACCCTCGCTCGCTGCAGCGACCACCCAGCAAGCTGTCCACCACCACCACCCGCCTCCAAGACCTACTGCACCGTCCCCAGCAGACTCTTCGTGCAGTTCTCCAACACCACAATCTGCACGCTCGCCTCCCTCGTTGTCGACGACGACGACGACGGCGCCGCCGCCGCCGCCGCCGCCGCTGCCGCTGAGGGAGAGGGGAAGCAGCAGCAGCAGCAGCAGCAGCAGCAGCAGGCCCAGCTCTTCGCGTACGACGATAGGTGCGAGGAAATCAGACGCCACGAAGGGGTCAAGCTAGGGCTGCGGGCGGAGTGGAAGGACATGTGAGTTTTTTTTTTTTCTTTTTTCTTTTTTTTCTTTTCTCCCTTTTTATCTTTTTCTTCCTCTTTTTTTCCTCGAGACGAGCAAGCAAGCAAGCAAGCAAGCAGGCAAGACGGATTCGATTACTGACCGACGGCGGGTGTGCTGCTCCTCACAGCGCGGGTGCGGACGTCACTGTTCTGGTTCCGGTCGCGGCGGACGGCGTGACGGAGATGACTTACAACGGGACGAGATTCGGCGGGGGGGAGGACTATTACTATAGGGCGCGTTGCTATGCGGTTGGGGGTGGGGGGAGGGCTTGTGAGATTATGTTTGTTTGTCAGGGTGGGCATTGGGATCCGGCGAGTGGGCATTTGACTCATTGGGGGTAGAGAGTGGATGGATGGATGGATTGGTTGCACTGGGCGGCCGGTGGGAATCGTGCAAGGCAAGGCAAGGCGAGGCAGGGAAGGGAAGGGTTGACACAGAGCGTATCTCGGGGTAGGAATGATACAAATCTGATGTATTGGCTGGTCACAACGTGACTCGATGATGCTTCTGCTGCGGCAAGGTTTTCGGCTAGAGGCTTCAATATAAACCGCCAAAGTGGCCGGAGGGATCATGGCGATCTTCAAAGAGAGCTTGGAGTCCTCAGTCGAGATGCGGGTAATGAGCAAATGGACTGGAAGATATCTCTCGACAGCCCCCCGAACATAAAAACACACCGTACAACCAGACAGACGAGGAGAATAGCTTCGGCAGGCACACAGCCGACGTCGATAGTCCATACCACATCAAGCCTCCGCGCCCTCCTCCTGCGCCTTGATCTTCTCAAACAGTCTCAGAAACACAGCCGGATCCTGTACGCCACCGATCTCGTACTTCGCCTGCACCGTGAAGTTTGGCACCCCGCTGATCTGCTTGAGCCTCGCCTGCTCGACCTCCCCATCAGCCTCAGGCCCCCCTCTATCACTCTGGAGCCAGTCCCTGGCCTCGCTCTCGTCGAGACCAGCTTTGACGGCTGCGCCCAGCAAGACATCGTGACCTGTAATGTCGCCTTCGTTCTCGAAATGCGCAGCGAAAAGCTCCTCCTCCACCACTCACTCGAGTCTGCAAGGCTGGCGATGTGGACTCGCCGAGCTGGACCAGGCGGTGCGAATCCCGCGTGTTGCCAGTTTTGCCACCGTGCTCGGAGTTGATGCCGACCTCTCTCCCGATCTGCGAGAGGCGCTTGAACATCATATCCGTTCTCTCCCGGCCGGACTTGGCTCGGTAGTAGCCAATCCGGTCCACACCTGGAAGATTCCCTTAGTACTGCTTGCTCATCATGTCTTCTGTGTGAAATCATAGTTTGGAAGGAAGAATTACCAGTCTGTGGAGCTCCAGGCTCCAGATAAAATGGCATCCAAGTCATCGAGAACGTATCCTCCGAGTTGGGGTGCACCTCCTTGTACGCCTCAGTAGCTTTGTCCAGCTTCGTCTTCCCCACGTAGCACCAGGGACAGACACTGTCGGTCACGATCTCAATGTCGAATTTTGTCATTCTGCTTGGAGTGGGCCGGACTATTGACAGGAGAGAAAAATGAGGGCTCACATAATACAAAAAGGGGCAATAGGGGCGCAGGATAGAGAAGATCAAGAAAACAGAGATGCAGAATACTTATCGTAGGCGGCAGGGCCGGGGGCCGAGAAACGATGGGAAATCATTCCGGAGGTGCCGGGGGTTCCGTAAAGTAGGCCACCACCTGTACCACTGTTCCATATGGCAGGATAGATGGCAGACGTTGACCTTTTCACCCCTTGCTGACGACGGCGGTGACCTCTTTGACCTATTTACCCCAAGCACCTCCATATTCCGTATAGCACCACTTCCGAGGCGGTCGTGGGAGCCGTGCGCTTAACTTGAAATGGGAGTAGATTTTCACATTTTCAAAGACCAGGTCTGTCTGCTACTGTACTCTTTTTCGATAGAGCTTTGAGAGTAGAGCTCCAAATTGGTTTTCAAGTATATTTTCTCATTACCGAATGTGCAACGCACCCGAATTCGGTGATGCAACAGTATAAAGAAGTCATAGCCATCATGTCCCATGTGAAGCTAGACAATGAAAGAGATAATCTGTAAGCTTTGGAATATTGTGGATGATGAGATTGGCGAACTGCATTAAGTGCTTGATCTTGCTCGGGAGAATGCACTTACCGGCCGTCAGTTTATAAAAGCCAGCCCCATACTCACCGACGGAAAGGTTCACTTGAACCATCCATACCATAAGATCAGCCCAGGCTTCATAAATGACTTGAAATCATAAACATTGCAACCGTTGAGCTTGGAAAGTTCAGAGATTGAAAGTCTTGAATTCCCTGGAGTGATACTTCTGAGAGCCGTCAACCCCCGACCATGGCCGACCAGACGCCATTGCTGAAGAAAGAATACCACCGTCCTGCCTCAATAACGCCATGCAATGCTTCCCAGAATCTATCGCGAATTTCCGTAACCCAGGCGACTTTTGACCGTGGTTCTATTTCTTCATGTATGAGTAATCCTTAAGAAGATGGGACATGTGTAGGTTAGTAGTCTTGCCACCACTGCGTGCGGCTCTCTTCTTCTTCTCCTTCAGCTTCGGTGCGGCCTTGATACGCTTCGCAGGGTCTTCACTTGCAGGCTTCTGACCAGCTTCTTGAAGCTTTCGGACAAGCTCATCAACGGAGGGTAACTCGATTTTGTGCCACATGACTTGGAATTCTGGATCGGTGGCATGAAACAAGGTTGGATCGTCGCTCCAGACCATCCTAGCATGGTTGTCCTTCTTTGTTCTTGTGACCAAGATCTTATGCTCTCGCTCCAACTCGTCAATGGCCTCCTCACAGTCTGGCCAGCCATCCTTCAGATCCTTGACAGAGACTCCTTGCGCATCGGCCTTACGCTGAAGATGTGCGAGGAGATCACCTTTGGAGCGGACGTTGATGATAGGTCGGTGCATGAATTTTCCCGAGTACCAAGTTTGGGTCTTCAGACTTGGGTCTGGGAACCATTGGACTCGGTCGTGTTTCTTCAGAACTCTCGCAATCGTTTGCTTCATCCGATCATCCGCATGCATCTGGCTTAGGTACTCCAGGATATCCTTGAACGTCTTCGCTTCATCTTTCTTCTTCAAGAAATCGATAACATAGGTGACCTGGGTGAAGGCATCTGTTCCATATCCCGTCGTCGCGGGTTGAGAGTAGACGACATTTGCTGACTCTTTCTTCTTCGGGGCCTTGCTGTCGGCTTTCGAGGTGGTCGAAGTGTTAGAGGGTGCTGGGGATGGGGCGGATTCTGGAGTAGGGGCCGTGAGTTTGCGTTTCTTCGTGGCAATCTGGGGAGCCGCAGAAATAGCACTGCTCTTGAACTGAGCCTGCTGCTTCTCGAGATAGGAAGACATGGAGGCTGCGGTGTATGTTGCCCAGCGTGGGAGACGTGACTGTGAAGAAGGAGAGCGAGAGGACTCTGTTTCGGGTTACGTCGAGGTGGCCTCGGGCGGTCAGTCTTCGGGTCGCATTCACAGGAGCCACAGATCAAGTGAAAGTGTTCGAGAGCCAAATGACCGGTAACGTGCTGCGCTATGGCCTGTATGACTGGATAGTTCGGCCGGAATGGTGAAAGAAATAGTCGATGATCAGCCTCCGGGGTGAGAAGGTAGTTGTGAGTTGTGAGTTGTGAGTGATATGGAGAAGTTGGGGGCTCTGAGTCGGAGCTTTGGGTGGGACAAGGCTACTTCGTAACTTGAGCTAGGTCCCCGTAAGTAAAAGTCTTGGCGCAACATTTCGCGCTAAAGATGCATGCGTCCAGCTTCAAAGAACAACCCCAAATACCTTACCATCACCAACCCCACACCAACAAATTTCCTACACACCTACCGGATCCACGGCGCGTGTACGGAGCTCTGCGAGATATGTACTGATATACAGGAAGCTTATCCCATATCTCTCCCCTTCTACTGCACCGATACCGACAGCGCATCGATAAACCAAACGCGCGTCCCCCCGTCACAATATTACCTTTGTCTCTTTGCGATCTTGCCCAAATTGATGAGGATCTCTTCGTAGCCATGGCTACGGCTGTATTAGATGTCGACTACTTATCGGCCTATCTGAGTGTCCCTCAACAGACTCTCAGCTTCGCCATCGACTCACCAACCGCTGAGCTTGTCCGATTGGTCCTCGAAGCTGTCACGGCGAAGGCGCGCGAACACGATGAGCTCGCCGCAGATAAACTTCGCGTGGATATCGAGTTGGAGAATTCAGTGAGGGGCTCAGAGACTCGCATTGAGGGTCTGCGCACAAATATCGAGAAGGCGCAGAAAACCGTTGAAGAGGTTCGCACGAAGTTGAAGGAAGAAGGTATGACCTCCCGATCGCAGAGAGATTATCTGGCCAAGGGCTAAACATGTTTGCGCAACAGAGAACGCCAGATCATCCCTCGAGAGCGAACTGCAATCACTGAAGTCCTCATCGACCTCTTCAACATCCGAAGCAGAGACACTACGCGTACGAATCGCATCTCTCGAAGCCGCAAATCGCGACACGATCGCAGTACTTGAGTCGAAGACAACCGCAAACGATAACCTTTCTCGGGATCTACAAAAGCAACACCAAAAGGGACTAGAGCTCAGTCAACAGCTCACAGTGGTTCAGCAACAAGTTCAGAGCGCGAATGCCGCTGCATCGAGTGCTAAATTCCGAGAGCAGTCTCTCAAGCAAGAGATTGAGCTTGCGAAACGCAATAATGAGTGGTTCGAGAACGAGCTAAAGACGAAGAGCGCGGAGGCATTGAAGTACCGAAAGGAAAAGGGGGCACGAATTGCCGAGCTTCAACGTCTGAACGAAGACACGACCTCCAATCTTGAAGCTTTGAAGAAGACAGAACAAGTACTGAGAAATCGTGTGGATGAGCTTCAAAAGAAAGTGGAAGAATCGCTCGGAAAAGTGCAACAGCTTCAAGAAGCAGCCGCGAAGTCAGAAGAAGGATACCGCCAGGAGCTAGAGAGTGCCAACCGACTCGCCGAACTTCAGGCTCAGCAATCGGAAACTCACAAAAACAGACTCAAGGAGGTTGAGGCAAGCTTGGAGAAGGTCAAGGACGATGCAGCAGAGGAAGTTGGGCGATGCCAATCGGTAATGGAAGCAGAAAGACAAGAGCGGGCAGCTCTGGAGCATCGTATTACTGAACTGGAAGCCGACAACGACCGTCTTGAAGCCATCATCGCTACCCGCCCAGGATCTGTCCCGGGAACACCTCGCCAAGGCCTTAATGGAAGAGCAGGGTCGCCTGCCCAGTTTGGAACTCCTGGGTCCGTACGCAAAACCAATGCCATGACTGCGACCCAGTTTGCCGAAGAAAACTTCAAACTTCGTAACTTGTACCAAGCTGAGAAGCGACGGGGTGACCGCCTTGCAGCCGAGGTGGACGAAATGATGCAAGGCTTGGAGGCTAAGCAGCCAGAGATTGAAGAGGCCCAGGCTGAGAATGGACGTCTTCAACAAGAAGTCATCGAAATGTCAAGATTCGTCGACCAAACTGGAAAGGAGAGAGACCGTGCAAAGAAGGATGCTAGGAGAGCAGAGAGTGAAGCTTCCACAGCTAAGGCAGAGGTGAATATCCTGCAGCAACAACTTCGAGATCTCAGTGCCCAAGTCAAGATGCTACTAAGCGACTTGGATGCCCGAGAACGCGGGCTTGGTGCATTGAGCCCCGAGGAACAGGCCCAGCTTGAGCGTCTGGCTCGAGGAGAAGTCAGCGAGGAAGCATTCGAAGGACTCACCGACACCGACCGATTCATCAGCCAGCGGCTGACAGTATTCCGCAGTGTTAGCGAACTGCAAGAAAAGAACCAAGAGCTTCTCAAGATCACTCGACAACTAGGTGCCCAGATGGAGAGCGAGGAAGCACTTGCTGCAAAGCATCAGGCAGCCAAAGACCATGAGGAAGTGCGTAATCTCCAGGCAAAAATTGAGAACTATAAGGATGAACTGCAGTCCATGATCACCCGTTCGGAAAGCTACATTAAGGAAAGAGATATGTTCCGTCGCATGCTTCAACATCGTGGCCAGCTTCCAGCCAACTCAGATCTTGCGTCTCTGTTTGGTCAATCGGTCGATGGAAACCAGAATGGCTTGATGCAATCGACCGAGCAGACTCCGGGCAACCGAGAAAATGCTTACTTGCTGCGCGAACTTCAGGCTCATTTCGACCAGTACAGAGAGGAGCAGTCCACCGATCGGCGCACCATGAAAGAGCAAATCGAGAGATTGTCCCAGGAGAAGGGTGCTCTGCAGGCTGAAATTGCCAAAATAAACAGCCAACTTACGCTGAACAGTGAAAGATATGACCTGCTCAACTCTAACTACTCGATGCTGCAGAACGAAAACTCGGAGTTGCAAAAGCGGTCGCAACTTCTCTCAGATTCAGCAGCCAAGCAAGATTTGCGAACTCAACAAGTCGCCGAGGATCTTGTCGAAGCTAAAGGACTTGTGGAGAGTATGCGTAACGAGAACGCTAACCTGAAGGCGGAGAAGAAACTATGGAAAGACATCCAGGAGCGTTTGAGCCATGATACCGAAGAACTCATGAATGAACGCACACGACTGAACGCTCTGATTGCCAATCAACAGACACTGCACAACGAGCGCGAATTATCTGATTCCGAGACCAGACGCAGGTTGACGGCCCAAGTAGAAAGCCTCGAAAGCGAGCTGAATACGACCAAACGTAAACTCAGTGATGAGATTGATGATAGTAAGAAGGCTCAATTACGGAAGGAATACGACTCTCAACAAAACCAGAAGCGTATTGACGATCTCGCGTCGAGTCTCAGCCAAGTTAGGGAAGAGCTAGTGGCTGCGAAGACAACCCGCGATCATCTGCAATCACGAGTGGACGAGCTTACGATCGAGTTGAAGAGCGCAGAGGAGCGAGTAGAGCTTCTCCAGCCCAGACCAACGCCTCGACCAGGTGCCAACGCCGAGACCGACGGTACGAATGGAGATGCCTCCGAGGCAGATATTAGCAGGGAGCAGGAATTGGCAATTGAGGTTTCGGAGTTGAAGAGGGATTTGGAACTCGCCAAATCAGAGCTTGAGAATACGAGGAACCAAATGGAGCAATACAAGTCCATTAGTCAATCGTCCGAGGAGGAGCTGGCCAGCCTCAACGCAACCCAGGACCAGTACCGCGAGGAGATGGATAGCATCGTAGAAGAGAAGGACACCAAGATCCGCGAGCTTGAGCAGAGAGTCGATGATATCTCGTCCGAACTGACTAATACTAACAACGAATTGACCTCACTACGAAATGGCCAGTCAGAAGTTGCTCGTCAAGCCGAGGAAGAGAAGGCGGCTCTCCAAGCGGAGATTTCTCGACTCAAGGACGAGGATGAGAAGCATGCGACGGCGGCACAGTTTCACCAGCAGGATCTTCGTGCACAGGCGGCCATCGCAACCAAGGCCCAGCAGGATTACGAAAATGAGCTTGTCAAGCATGCTGAAGCTACGAAATTACTCTTGGCTCTCCGAGCGGAGCATAATCAACTCAAGAGCGAATCTTCCACTCTCAAGGCCGAGGCCGAATCTGCCAAAGTAACTTTGAGTCAAAGCCAAAGCTCGTGGGAGGATCGACGAGAGCAATTCGAGAAGGAGTTGAAAGAGCTAAGAACCAGACGTGATGATCTCAATTCCCAGAACAAGCTACTTCATCAACAATTGGAGGATGTTGGAGCACAGATCAGTGGTCTCCAGCAAAGCCGCGCAGTAGAAGCTGGGTCCGCAGAAGTAGAGTCCACCGGCGATCGTAATGCGGATGGCCTCCGAGAACTCAATGTGTTCCTGAGACGAGAGAAAGAAATCGTGGAAGTACAGTATGAGATGAAGGTCCAAGAAGCCAAGCGTCTGCAACAGCAGCTTGACTACGCCCAGTCTCAACTTGACGAGACCAGACTCAAACTTGAGCAAGAGCGCCGACAAAATGCAGATGGAAGCCGCAGCTCCGTTGCGCACAAAGACCTCATGGAGAAGCTCAGCGAACTGAACCTGTTCCGCGAGAGCAGTATCACTCTCCGTAATGAAGCCCGCCAAGCCCAGAGTCAGCTAGCCGAGAAAACCAAGCGAGTGGAAGATCTATTGGGACAGATACAGCCGTTGGAGACCAGGATCCGGGAGCTTGAGCAAGGAAAAGAGACGACGAGTGAGGAGATGCGATTGTTGCAGGAGGATCGGGACAGATGGCAGAAGCGTACTCAAGACATCATTTCAAAGTACGACCGAATCGACCCAGCCGAGATGGAACAACTCAAGGAGACCATCGAATCACTACGAGCTGAGCGAGATAACTTGGTCGAGGAGCAACAGCCTTTGCAGGAGAGGATCCAGGGCCTGGAAGCCGATAAGGCCACTTGGCAGCAGTCACGAACCAAATTGATTGACCAAGCGAAGGAGCGTAACCGAATCAACTTGAACCAGAACAAGGAGCGCACAGCCGAGAGAGATGCTGCAATCCAGGAGAAGGACAATCTTCAGCAGCAACTTACAGGCCTCCAGGAAGAACTTGAGACTGCTGTCCAAGAGAAAGAGGCTGCTCAGCAGCAACTTCAGTCTATCAGCCAGGAACTCGAAACGGTCAAATTCGAGCGTGATCAAGCCTTGGCCGATGTTTCTAAACTCCGCCAGACTGCTGCTATTCCTGCAGCTATACCGCAAAGCGACCCAGCCCTTAATACACAAATTGCTAAACTACGTAGCGAGCTTGAAGACGTGAAGAAAGAAAAGTCTTACTTGGAGACGCAGATCAAGGAACTGGGAGAACAACTCGAAAAGTCCAATTCCGAACGAGCCAACGCCATCGCAGGAGCTTCAGAAGCAAGAACCAATCAAGCAGCCCAAGCTTCTGATGCCGCTATTCAAAACGAAACGGAAGAAGGCCAAATTGACGAAATCCCTACCTCAGGACTCGCAGATGAGCAAAGAAAAGCCTTGGAGGATCGTATTGCTGGAGCGGAGTCCAAGGTCAAGGAGGCAGAGGCGAAGGTCAGCAGGATGGAGGAGGAGATGGAGAGCAAGCTACGGGAACGCTCCGAGAAGATGAAGACCGCGTTGAACAAGAAGCTTGCCGAGTCGAGAGAGGCTCAGAAGGCCGAAGTTGCAGCCGAGTTTGATATGCGGTTGGAACAGGAGAAAGCAATTTGGCTGGCGGAAAACAAAGCTGTTCAGCCTGCTCCGACTCATCAACCTCTTGACACACCTTCGAAGGTTGCTATAGAATCCAAGCCTGCCACCGGAGCAGCACCCAGTATGCCCGCAACCCCGAGTCAACAGCCGCAAACGAACCCAGCATTTTCCATGTCCGAGAAAGAAGTCCGAGACTTCGTGGCTAGTAACAACACCGCCAAGGAAATTTTGAGGTCCAACATCACACGGCTCGCTGGTATTCAAACCCAAAAGGTGAAAGATGAACATGCAAAGGAGACACAGAAGCTTATCGATGACCATGCACAGGCATTGGCCGATGCGTTGCAAAAGGCTGAAGCCGCAAAAATAAATGCAGTCACCATGGAGACCAAGAAGTCGGCGTTGAGAATCAACATGACGGAAAACAAGGTTCGGAACGCTACGGGAAAACTGGACATTGTGGAGAAGGCTGCCCAAGAAACTCCAGAGCGACCTGTTGGAGAGGTGTGGGAGGATGTCAAGGCGTGGAAGCCGACAATGCCTGCACCGGCTGCCATTGCTGCACCGGTCGCACCGGCTGCACCTGCCCCAGCTCCTGGTATTATGTCTTCTCCTTTGTAACATACTCATGACTAACACGGTGAATCAGAACCCGTTGCACAACCAAATGGCTCAGCTGGTTCGAATCCTGCACCAGCCGTGGTCAAACTCGAATCCGTAGCTTCGCTGCCGCTGCCGCCGGTTCCGCTAAACGAACAGCTACCTCAGCAGCGTCGGGCATCACAAGTACTGAATACTGCACTGGTACAGAACGGCGCGACGGCTAACCCTCCTAGCAACCTTCCAAATGTAAGCTGGCATTGTGTGTTGAATTGAGCGTAGACTAATGAATCTTTAGGCACCCGTTAACAATCAGCAGCGTTCATCTTCAATCCCAATGATGCGCGGAAATTCTTCTGTCCGAGGGCGTGGGGGAGGACCCCAAATTTATCAAGCACGTGGAGGTGCCGGTGGACAAGGAGGACAGGGTGGCAGAGGCAGGGGTAGAGGCGGACCGCAAGGAGGCGGACAGCAAGGAGGCGGACCGAATGCTCACGCTCCCCCGTACAGCCCAAATGGGCAGGCAGGTACTAAGCGTGGTAGAGAAGAGGGTTCTATTGGAGGTGGAGGCCAACAGCACGGAGCTAAGCGACCTCGGGGCGGATGATCAAATAAAGGTTGGTAGTGCTTTGCTTTGTTTGTATGGTATTTGCTTGCTGCATGGCCAACGGACGGCTTCCATTGCTCGGCGAGAAAAAGTGGCGTTGGTAGGGCCGATGATGGACGGGATACTGTGACAATATTCTAGAGCAGAACATGGCTACATGAATGAAGCTGAATGGCAATATTGCCGCCTCCTCGAACCAGCCCGCCTCCGGACTTCCACCTCGTTCGATCAGCCGTGACCAAGCCGAACCTCTCCTCCTACTTATCCAGCCCGTCCGAGGTACCTCTCTCTCTCTCTCTGCTCACCCAACGATCGCAGCCGGGACGAATCTGCCGCTGCGAACACTATTGCAAGAAACGACGGCCTGGGCTCAGGCTCAGGCTCAGGCTCAGGCTCAGGCTCAGGGCCTCGCCTCGCTTGTTCCTAGCGAGCAGAAGCGAGCAAGAGAGAGAGCGACGAGCCGGCCGATCGATCGACCGATGACTTCCTTACTGAGAAGCAGCTGCGTTTTCCGCTCTCTCTCTCTCTGCCTTTTTCCTCTTGAGCGGCTACTCTCTCTCTCTCGCTAACTGTCCCTTTTGGCCTCTCGGGTCTTCTGCTGCGGTGCTCATCCACTCCGGTTC